AAAAAAAAAAAAAAAAAAAAAAAAAAAAAAAAAAAATGGACACCCCCATTCCTCCCCCCCCTTCCCCCCGCCCAAGAGTAATGTGTTTTAAATCTCTAGAAAGAAACAAGTGATTCTCGTGCACTGGGCTGGGGGAGGGAGCTTTTTATACCATCTACAGTTATTGACCAACTGAATAGGAAACTAGGAAACAATCTTTTAAAAGGTAGCTTGATCCTTTTGTTTTGTGTGATTAACAGAATTTTATTAGGCCAAGAAATGGCAGTTCAGAAAAACATTTAAAAAGTCTCCCCTGGCTCCAATGGCCCATTGTCTATTTGCTCTTCAAAGACTGAGTTAAGCTTGGAACTCCACTCCTGTCTGGAAACTAATTTCACCTTAAACTTAACTAAGGGGATTGTCTTTGTCATGTGACTTGATCTCTTGACCAGTCGTCTTCCTGCCAGGAGGCCCTTGGAAAGACACTCCAAAGGAACTTTCACACATTCCTTTCAGCCTCATGGAGACGAGCCACCAGTCATGAATCCTTTATAACAGAGCCTGATTTTCCCAGAACGACATCCATTACCAGCAATGGCACAGAGAGTTTGGCCACTTCTACCTGGAGCCACCTGGGAAGCTGTTGGAAGACTGGAAGCATTTGGTAATACCAGTGCAATGCACAGCAAGTAAACCCTGCTTCAGGCGCCGTAGGCATCCTCTGTAGATACTGTGGAGAGAAGCTGACTGACCGTGGTTTAGGAATAAGTATTAGATCCCGTACTAGGGATGCTCTCTGCTCTTGCTGACTGTGCTCAGAATGTGCTCTCAAGCAGGCAGTGGCATCCGCAGCCGGTGGGGCACACTTCCTGAGTGCGAAACCACTCCATCATGTGACTGGTGTGTCCTCCATGTCCGCAGGTCAGACAGAAATTGGAGGAGCCTCGCACTGCCACATGGCAGATGGCACACTGGAAAGTGAAGCCCTTGCAGATGGCGCACTGGGTGCCCCGCACCTCGCTGCGGCAGTGACTGCAGTACACCCCAAACTCTGGCAGTGGGGGAGAGGGAAAAGAAATGGAGAGCAAAACAGTTACTGCAGGCTCCTATATTCCTGGAGACCACAGTTCTCTATTCATCCCCAGGGCAGGTGTAGCAGAGTCTCCCCCCTCTCCCCTGAGCTCTGCTGACCTGCCTCAGACCTGACCTAGGGAGCCCACCTCCCTGAGTAAGAGCAGAATTCTTCTCATGGGCCCGTTACATTCCTTTGCTCCTCTCCTGAGGCTATCCAGTTAGGCTGAGACATCAAAGCATGAGGTGCTGGACTGACACCAATTAACACAAGCCATCTGAACAGCATCAGGAGAAGGGAACACCTTTTAGCCATGACTAACCTGGGCTGGACAGAGGTGCTGTGGAGTTGAACTCCTCCAGCTGCCCTTTTCTCTCTCTCTCTCTACATTTCTGTAGAGTTGTGTCTTTAGCATCCATCTCCTCCGTGAGAAACAAACAGGCACAAGCCAAGCCCAGCATGTCAACGGGAGCAAAGATGACCTCTAATGTGAGGCTGCTGTTTACCTGGAGAAGAGCAGCCATGATCCAGGCTGCTCTGCTCTTCCAGACCAACAACACGGTGACGGGGCAAAGTGAGCTTCCTCACAGCTGCTGCTAATGCTGCTTCCCTGTTCAACATTACGCCCACCCAGAAGTGCAGTGTGCCTTCCTCTTTCTAGGCCTGCTGGACAACTGCAACGGGCAGCCACAGGGCTTGGGGGAATGTCTTGCCCACCCATTTTCTGTCTGGGTTTCCTAAAGCCAGAAACCAGGTTTTTGTAATTCTACCCACTAGACATTGTGAGAACCTCTCAATCCATGGTCAGTGATTGGGTTGGCTCCCCATACTACCCCAGAGGAGGAACAGCCTCCAGCACTGTCAAGAGGCCATCACTACACAGTGGTAAACACAGCTCCAGCTAGTAATGTCCCTCCGTCCCACATACAAAGTCACTTAGCCGAGATCTAAAGATCTCATCTCCACTCTGAACTGCCAGGGGGGCTGAGTACTTACCAAGCAATTTGCTGCCACAGCCAGTCTCTTGATTGGCTGAATGGATACATCTTAGATCATCATGTCTGCTGAATATTTATCCCCAAACCCTTCAGGCAGGGGTAGCTGGAAGAGGCAGAATTACACACTCACCGATTCCCTTGTGCGGGTCGGGAGGACAGGAAACGAACTTCAGAACCTCAGCTCGTTTCTCTCGCAGACCCCAGCGATAAAGGATTTCCCCGTAGCATTTCTTGAAGTCATCAAACTGCTGAGTGTTGGCAGGGTCCAGGAGCCTGGAGGAGGGACCCACACAGTCAGTCACTTGATCTGTTCACTCACCGCAGCTCTGGCTGTGATTCTTAACCCAGCCAGCAGCAATGCCATGCGTCTGACGAAGTGGGCATTCATCCACGAAAGCTTATGCTCCAATACATCTGTTAGTCTTAAAGGTGCCACAGGACCCTCTGTTGCTTTTTACAGATTCAGACTAACATGGCTACCCCTCTGATTCTTAGGTAGCTACAAGAGCAACGTATTATTTTCGCAGTCTCTCAGACAAAGTGTTATAATTTTTGAATGACAATGTCACAGTGAGCCTGAGTGGACCACATCTGTCATCAGAACTAGGGTGTGTGGGGGAGGGGCAGGTTCTCTTCCAGGGCCCTCACTGCAACTGATTTATGAAAAGATTTCACGGGCAGTCAGCCAATCACTGATCTGAATTGGTTTGTGTGATTAATGTGCACAAGCCTTGTCAAGTAGTGTCAGGCTAAGCAGTGTTAGGTCTAAAACTTCCGGAAGTTGTAAGAAGCGAGTACAGTAGAATCCTGCAAGCATAAGCATAATCTATCTAGGAAGCTTCATAGACTGAAAAGGAAACTTTGTAAATATAGATACAGGCTTGTGGTTACTATGCTCTGTAACCAGACACCTCTTTAAGCTGATTCGAGCATTTTTGAGTCTAGCAAATTGACCACAATTAACCGCATAGAGAAGAGATGAGCTGGGCACAGTTGCACAGTTCATTAGTTCAAAACAACCACAAATGCCACCCTGGAATATTTGACCACCTTGATTAGTTGACTTGTTTTGAAGCATGGCCAGCAAATACCGAATAAATAAGATGCAGAGGCACATGTGTGTGTGTGTGTGTGTTTTGACCTAAAAGAAATCGCTCTTTGTCAGGCTCACATGCACCCCCTGAACCAAAGGGACTTGCGCTTCACTGACTACACTGGTCTACAATTTTTGAGAAGTCGTCTGCTTCAGAGATAAAATGTGCTATTTATTATGTATTTTGATGCGCTGAAATCAAATATGACAATTAAAACAACTGATTGGCTACTG